TACATGTAGAGGGGCATTATGTTCAAATTTACAAATGGTGCAGGTACATGTACACTGTACATGGGTTGTATAGTAGCTTCACTAGTTAGGCCATGACTTCTTCACCCTACATACTCCTCAACATGGAGTGCAGAAATCTGCATACATGTACTATAGCAAAAGCCCCTTTCTTCATATACATGTTGGCAGGATCTAAATGGAGTCCCCAGCTTGACCAGATTATCTTTACCACCATTAGTCAGTCTATATAAGGCAGTGCCCTTTATCATTTATTATCATGCATCATACAGCACCTGGCATGCCTGGGAAACGACTTAACCACAGTGATCTGAACTTAACCACAGCTATGCTCACAATGCTGAGTGATCCCGCTATCTTAAAGGGAGACGTCTGTCCCCGAAATCCTGTGTGCATAAATTGCACGAGCACCGGTGCTGCATAATGTCAGCATAATGTATTTCAAACGATACACCAGCGGGAAAACCGTTTACCTGGCCATTTTGAGGAAAAAATACATGCATCTTATCAATGAACATACTGTACTTGTTGTTACAGGAAAGTAAACTGAAACACATGCACATGTACCAGCAGAAGGAGAACAGACAATGGGTTGCGAATTATGTGAACATTTTATTTACATGTACATGTGTACAATGTAAGCTTCACGATGCTAACCATGAAGTTTATGGTATTTCAGTTATGTCTGTAAGTTTGCTTCAATAGCTGGGTGCATTTCATTTTGTGGAGAAAACTTTATCGTTCCTCTTTAAAACTCAGCAACTACAGATGCAAACGTACAATGTACATATGCACGTACATGTGTACACATGTACTGGTACATACGGGAATTGCACTCCACAAGTACAGTACATGTACAGTGTCCTTTGCCAAGAATGAAATGCCAAACATATCTCAGACAAATTGCTCAGATTTGCCAAGGGGGCGGCGGGGTTCAAAAGTTCAACTCTCAATGAAAGCCCAGCAGCACGTAGGCGGGTCTCATCGTTAAATGCGGTCAGACTGCCATGTCATCATGCACTTTCTCGCACCAACTGACAAAGATCACAACCTGACTCAGTTCGGTTTTTGGCCAGGTGCCAATCAAGCTGATCTCGCA